ATCACCTCATATGCATGTGAAAGCTGGACAATGAATAAGGAAGACCAAAGAAGAATTGATGCCTTTGAAATATGGTGCTGGCGAAGAATATTGACTGAACCATGGACTGCCAGAAAAACGAACAAACCTGTCTTGGAAGAAGTACAGCCAGAAAGCTCCTTAGAAGCAAGGATGGCAAGACTTTGTCTCACGTACTCTGGACATGTTATCAGAAGGAGCCAGACCCTGGAGAAGGACATCATGCTTGGTAAAGTAGAGGGTCAGCCAAAAAGAGGAAGAACCTTAATGAGATGGATTGATACAGTAGCTGCAACAATGAGCTCAAACACAGCAAAGACTATGAGGATGGCCTAGGACTGGGCAGTGTTTCCCTCTTGTTGTACACAGGGTAAGTATGAGTCAGAATTGACTTTTTTCTAGTATAAAATAAACTAACCCATTTCTGTCAAGTCAAGTCTGACTCATAGCGACCCTACAGGACAGAGTAGAGCTGCCCCATAGAGTTTCCCAGGAGCACCTGGTGGATTCAGACCGCCAACCTTTTGGTTAGCAGCCATAGCACTTAACCACTATGCCACCAGGGTTTAGCTGTTCTAAATAGAGAGTACCAAATAAAACTCCATCAGAGGCCAGGTAGGTCATACAACTCTATGAAGCATCTGTAGGTAAGGCCACAGGGAATGATGACTACTGTGGTGACCAGTGTGTGAGTTAGCAGCCTGAGCATTCAGTTTCAAAATGGTGGCCGAACACACTAACACACACATAAACACAGATTGGTCTGCATCATGATCCAAATATTAATAGGGTACATCTTAAAATTTGAAGACTTAAAGAAATGTTCCCTGATTTGGCTAGGGGAGAGGGTAGAGCAGTCATCTCTGACATAAGGAAACTCTGCCTAGTTATCATGGGAATTTAGCCAGTCTACTTTCTTTCCATATTGTTTTTAGGTGCCATTGAGTCACTTCAAGTCATAGCGACCCAATGTGACAGAGTAGAACTGCCCCACAGGGTTTTCTAAGCTGAAACCTATACGGGAGCAGATTGCCAGGACTTTCTCCTGTGGAGTCACTGGGTGGGTTCGAACACCAACCTTTCGGTTAACAGCTGAGCCTTTAACCATCGTGCCACCAGGGCTCCTTTGTCTCCACAGAACCACAGAAAAAAAAAACGAACCAAACTCATCACTCTCTTGGCTCAGTATATCAGGTAAATTTATTCTACACCAGAAAGAATAAGGCATAGGAAATCAGAAAAGACACATCATGATTGACCGATGTTAGTCCTAAATCAGAGATAAGGACCAATCATTACACAGTATTAAGAAAATCCCCACTATCAATTTTTAATTTATTTTTTAACTCTTTGCTAAGACTACAATGTTTTTCAAAAGAATCAGTGGTGCTCTCCTTTGTGTTTAAAGGGCCTGGTACTGCCTCCAAAGAACATGCATTCCAAGTTGTCTGTCTCTCTGTGAACCATGCAACACAAGCAGGAAACAGACGTCTGTGGCCGTGGCCCAGGCAAGAAGGCTGCTCTAAGTTGGTTTGGAACCACGGAGGTGAGGTTATGAATATTAGACTACAAAACTCTGATTTAACCACCACAAGCTCCGGGGCGTGTGGCATGAGTCCAAAAAAAGAATCAAGTTTTTTTTAGATTGGTGGAAATGTACCATTATTTCATGGTCACATGTCTCACAGTTCTAAAGCATTTGATAAGCAACATTTATAGCCGGTAACTATTTTCATGGAGTCCCCTGGATCATGCAAATGGTTAATGTGCTCAGCTGCTAACAGAAAGGTTAAAGATTGGAGTTCACCAAGAAGTAGCTTAGAAGAAAGCTCTGGTGATCTACTTCTGAAAAACCAGTCATTGAAAACCCTATGGAACACAGTTCTACTCTGACACACATGGGGTCTCCATGAGTCAGAATCGACTCAATGGCAACTGGGTGGTTGGGTGCTTTGAACTAATTGCATGTAAATTGGAGTTTCCCATATGCAAACTCTAGGAAAGCAGCCCTGGGCTCGGGCCACCTGACTGTCTAATTATTGAATCATCATTCACAAGTTTAAACACTCTTGTGACAAGTGAACATTAGAGTTCCACAAAGACATACACATATTCATTTCCCAAACAAAAGTAAACACTTCCTTTGCTCGCTTACCTCTCTCCGGCGTCTTTGATCCAGTAGGCTTGTCTGGGACAGTAAGATGGTCTAGGTTGCTACTCAACGAAGAAGTATCATCACTAGATAAAGAGTTCAAAAATCCGCTTTCTGATGTGGCATCTTCCTGGACCTTGCGACTGTTTGCCTCTGAGGGGAGAGGCGAATGACCCCGCACAGCAAATGTTATAGACTGTCCTGCGTCCTCAGCTGCAGAGGAACTGTTAACTATGTCGAGCCAGGACTGCATTTCTTTAGATGAGGAGGAAGAAACATTGCTGGACATCTTCCTTGCATTTTCCAGGGAAGAGAAAGAACATGATGCTTCACTCAGCTTGGATGAGGATGAAGATGCCTGCCGTGCAGCCTATTTTTCACAAATAAAACCAAAAAAGACTAAAATAAATCATGATTGAACCAGCATTCTCTACTTACCATATTCAATGACAGTACCCCCAATGTTTCAATGATATAAGAGTCAAAGATAAATATATGATATTTATATCTGTATGCCAGGCATCATGACGCCATTTTCCAAAACTGATTTGTCTACTTTTGAATTCACCGTTCTAGGATCTAAAAAATCTCCATATTATGATTTTCCCCATTCCTCAGTGCTCTCCAGAATCTAAAAGCCCCTTTGGGGAATTCTTTAGAATACTGAGAGTTATCTTGAGCAAAAAACAAAGTGCCATCTATCGTTGAATTCACACTGATTGAGCAAAAACTCTGGAGAAGGGAGATTAACAAAAGAAAGCCACAGCTGGAACCATACAGGAAGTAAAACATTGTTAACTGAGTAGACATCAGTGATGTGGGCAAGGGACATACATTTAAACTCACAAATATCTTTCACATATTCCTTAACACGTGACCAATATCAGCTCATAACTCTACACTTAAGATGAAATAACATTAATTCATTCTCTCCTTAATAATTCTAAAACTTTAATAAAGTTTCACCTAAGAAGGCAAGAATACAGTTGCAGTCTCCTAATTCACTAAAAGAGAACCCAAAAACTGCACCATAGACTACGAGAAGTGGATTGATGATTAGGAACCTTCTGGCAGCAGTTCCTAACGTACAATCCAACGGTGATTGACAGTCCTTGGAAAAATTTTCACCAGTCCACAGACAAAGCATCAATATAACACCACCAACTGTCATCTCTTGGAAAGGACTTCATTTCTTCTGAGATTATATCCTTGTTATAATTTGATGTTAAAACATATGCCTTCTTGTGGGAAATGGTAATAGTAGATAAGTTTATGTCTTCTTTGAAAATTTTAAATATTCTACGTAGCAAAATAAAGATTTGGCAATTTTATGGTGTTCCTCTGTTTTTCATTTTATTCAAAAATCTAGACACCAGAGCTCTATGGGTCATCTCTATCTCCAACAGCAGAGAAGACAGAGAAGACATTTTGTTACATCATCCCATGAGATACTCTTGTCAATTTCAAGCATTCCTCCAAGGAAGTGGCAGGGAGGGGATAATTAGTGGGCAGAAGACAAAGAGCAAAGTAAGATCCTCTCCAAAAACCTTAGAATCACTGCAACCAACTCAGAATGTTTGACTTTGCTCCAAACCAATATGCCCCCAAGAATTTTACAGGTTCTAAGTTCTGAGTTCTGATGGGAAAAGCCAGTATTTACCCGACGTTGTGTCCAACTGGCTGCATGTAGACATGGAATGTCAAATAATCAATAAATCCACTTTGAAGTAACATAGCGTTAAACTCTCTAGTTAAGATACTAACCCATCACACATGTCTTCTCAGTAATAATGTATTTGCATAGATATGAAACTTTCTCATTCAGTAAAGCATCGAGTGGCTTGGGAACTGCTTGCCTTAAATCACTCAGATCACTTAACAATGGAGATCAAAGATCTGTAATTCACTAAACAGAACCCTAATGGTCTGAAAGAAGTAATGCAAATAACCCAAAGTCTCCAAATAAATACCAGGAACAGTCTACTCACTAGCAGGATCTACAAAATACATATTAACAAAAATACCCAATCTGGCCCAGTCCTGACACATTCCCCTATTGTGAATTATTTCAGAAAATCTCAGCCTTATGTGATCGGCTTCCTATTCTGTAAAGAAACCAAGCACAAGCCTTTTCTAATTTGATTATAGCAAAATGGGCTGTTTGAGCAAAAGACTATGCGTATACTTGCTGCAGCACATGCTGGAAGCCGTTTTGAACCTCAAAACGGCTTAAAGGACTGAGGGAAGGCAGGTTAAATGAGCAGCAAAAATAGCTGTGAAGCATATTCCTGTTTGTGGTTCTACTTAAACACAGTGCAAATGCTTTCAATCCTTTTTCTAGGCACCATGGAACATTTATAATTTTATTTGCAAATGGAGAAAAGCAGAGTCAGAAGAAAAAAAAAAAAGAAAGGAAGGAAGAAAAGAAAAAGAAGGAATGAGGGGAAGAACTAGAAAGAAAATGAGAAAAAGCCTATGTATACCAGGGCTAAGAGTCCCTGGGTGGCACAAAGAGTTAAGTGCTCAACTACTAATTGAAAAGTTGGCAGTTCAAACCCACCCAGAGGCACTTCGGAAGAAAGGCCTGGAGATCTGCTTCCAAAAGGTCACAGCCTTGAAAACGATATGGAGCAGTTCTACTCTGATACACGTTGGTTCACCATGAGTCAGAATCGACTCAAAGGCAATGAGTTTGCTTTGGTTTTGTACCAGAGCTAGAAATGAGTTTCCCTGGGGATAAGATGGAGATGCAGAAAGAGACAAAAGAACAAATCGAAATGAACCTGGAGTTCCATTACAGAGGACTCAATGTATGGAAGTACTTTATAGATAGTGTAGCGCTAAATCGTGGTTCATTATTTCTATCATTCCATAGCTAGCAACTGCCTCAAGTCAAACAGAGAACCCTTAGCTAAGTGTCTTCCCTGAACCATTCATGTGATACACCTATAAAACTCCCCAATGCAAATCAAATGAAGGTTAAAGGAGTGAGCATCTCTCCAATCCACCCCTTCCTTCAGCGGTCAGTTCAAGGGTCAGCTCCTCCTGGAGGCCTTCTCTGATAGCCTCAGGGTGACGTAGGTACTTCTGTCCACTGCTCCTAGGTTTACCCCATCACACTGGAGGAATATCATTTTATTTCTCACCAAGTAGTGTAACTGCTGATTGACTTATTTACCTTTTTGGTGAGCTACTTGAGAACAGGGCTATATTTAATCATTTTTTGCATCTCCATTGTTTGCATCTGTGCATAGCTGCCAACACATTAATGGATGAGAGGACCAGCTATGTGAAGGAAAGCAGCCCAGAGCAGGTCAGTCACTCATCCAGGAGCTCCCTGAAATTCTCCCTAAAGTTGCTATGGGTGCAGGGGCAGTTAACCAATAAGCAAGTTACACACAGGCTAAATTGTGTTTATTTACCAATCTGTAGTTCCCAATTTCACATGGGTTTCACCACATCTTTGCTGTGGTGAAAAAAACAGGCAAAACCGTGCACCACAGATTAGTAAATAAGCCCATGTATACTGTCTTAGCCATCTAGTTCTGCTTTAACAGAAATACCACAAGTGGATGGCTTTAACAAAGAAAAATTTATTTTCTCACAGTCCAGTAGGCTACAAGTCCAAATTCAGGACGTGAGCTCCAGGGGAACACTTTCTGTGTCGGCTCTGGAGCAGGGTCCCTGTCATCAGTCTTCCCTTGGTCTGAGAGCACCTCAGCGCCAGAACCTCAGGTCCAAAGGACACGCTCTGCTCCCAGCACTGCTTTCTTGGTGGTATGAGGTCCTCATGTGTCTCTGCTGGTTTCTCTCTTTTATATCTCAAAAGAGATTGGCTTAAGACACTAATCTTGTAGACCTCATCAGTATAACTGCTGCTAATCTATTTTTACATCATAGTCATTCAGTTTACAACACATAAGGAAATCACTTCAGATTACAAAATGGTACACAATCATACCATACTGGGAATCATGACCCAGCCAAGTTGACAGATATTTTTGGGGGACACAATTCAATTGAAAACATGTACCTTGTTTATTGGGTACTCCATCCCTGCAGGGGTGGATTTATCCTAATCCCAAAACTGAGGAATAACTGGTATTATTACAATGCAAATTAGTCCCACAAAATTTTCTCATAATCTCAGAAAATAAATTATTATTTAGAAAGCAATGACTGCGTGTGGTTCCATTCATTTCAGAACATTGGGGTTTTAAATAGTTTATTTTTAATAAGAAAATTAAAGACATTTTAAAGATCTCAGTTTTAATCAGTAGATTATATATAATGATTTAACTTAAAACTCAATATTGCTTTTCCCCATTTTCCATATGAAATATTTATATTTATGGGAGAAACTTAATTCAATTACTTTACAAATGCTAGTTAGCTCAAAAATACTCTTCTTTATATTGTGAAAATAATGCGAGTTTGACATGGTGACAACAGATTAAAATGGCCACTAAAAGCCCTGTAATTAGGAAGTAAGTCACCATATCAATCATAAGCAACATTAGCCAAACCTTATGAAAAGAAAATACAGAAATAACTTAAGACTAAACATAATCAAACCAAATGAGGGAAAAAGGACAGAAAACACCAGTTTTTCTTTTCTTTTATTGTTGTGTGCCTTTGAGTTAGTACTGACTCATAGCAACCCTATATGACAGACTAGAACTGCCACATAGGGTTTCTTAGGCTGTAATCTTTATAGGAGCAGACCGCCAGGTCTCTTCTCCTGCGGAGCTGCTGAGTGGGTTCAAACCACAAACCTTTTTGGTTAGCAGCCAAGTGCTTAACCACTGCACCACCAAGACTCCTTTCATTGGTCACATTAATAAAAACAAACTACTCCATTGCTGTTGAAGTCTCTGGGTGGTGTAAAAAGTTAGCAAACTCAGCTGCTAACTAAAAGGTTACAAGTTGGAGTCCACCCAGAGGCATCTCAAAAGAAAGGCCTGGTGACCTACTTCCGAAAAATCATCCATTGAAAACTCTGTGGTGCACAGTTCTATCTGATACACATGGGGGTCATCGTGAGTCAAGCCCACAGCAATTAGTATATTCAGGAAATGCTGTTAAGCCCTAGGAAGTAGTATGTTCGTAATTCTACCACATGCTAGTAGAAACACGACTCTAAGAACCAGAAGAATTTGTATAGGATGGACCCTCTCCGCCACTAACCTTCTGCACAACCTTGTGCAATGAGCTGAGAGAAGATTCACTCCTCACTCCAATCCTTAATCTCCAAGTGACCTTGGAGAAGTTACTTCACCTCCAAGTCCTGTTCTACTGGCCTCGTGCCTCCACAATTGCCCTCCCCATGGCCTGAGTCCATCATCCAAACAACAGCTAGAGTAATGCTTC